ATGGCTCTTGCACTTTCTGGGTAACTGTGGCAGTTGGCTGGCAGACAGGATACCAGACCTGTCATTTTATTAACATGACACTACTGCCCTGTAGACACCAAAGGCAGAGGTTACTACCAGCTCACCCTCTGGTATGACCCCCACCCCCACACTGGGTAGGAAGGGCTCTCCCACTGAGCAGTATCTCCAACCCCCAAACTTTAATCTCCAGGATTTAGCGCACCCACCTGCAATGCAAATACTATGTAAATAGTTCCAGAACTGCATTGTGTAAGAGAGAAACAGCCAGAAACAATAGCCAGCATGGGGTCGTCTTTGCCATGTGCGAGAGCAGGGAGAAGATAAGGAGGAGTAACTATTCGCTGGTCACTGCACTTTGCTCCCTAGAACTCTGTGCCCTCTCAGCATTTGGCTGAGAAGGGGTCTATGGCACAAAAGGTTAAGCACCTCGACCCCGAAGGATCCACCAGTGACTGACAGCCAGGATGCCAACTGCCTTCACTACTGTCTACACAAGCCCCAAAGCCACCACAGCCCCTCTCCTTCCCGGCTGGCTGCTCGCGGCACCAGCAACATCCCTCCCCCCCCAAATCTGCAGCTGCTGTTTGCTGAAGCAGTAAAAAACCACCTCGGCCGTACCACCATCGGCAAATAGTGGGACCAGCGTATCTGCGGAGGAGTAAGAGGGCCCTGTTAGGAACAACTGCTGGCTATGCTTAAGTTAGCCTGAAGGGAAGGCAAGCCAAAGTCCACAGGGAGAGCGCCAGCAAGCAGGGCTTCCATCCCCCACCCCCAATTTGAGGAATGTTATCTCTCCAGCATCTAGTTATCCAGTAAAGTTGGAAGAATGCAGTAAACCCAGCAGGGGTCTTAGATTCAATCTCGGGCCAGATGGATGGAAAATACCCTGACTATTGTATAGGAAGAAAGCTAATCAACCAGGAGGCCAATCCCTGGCCGGAGACACTCAAACAGTTAAAAAATAAAATAAGATCTGTATATCTCGATAAAAGCCTGGTGACTCAGGTTTTGCTTATCTGTTACCGGTCCTGTATTAGAAGAATGACAATGAGCAGCTTACCTAAGGAACCCAGTATCTCAGGCCCAGCCCTACCTCCAGGATAAGTGCTTACCAAAAAAACAAAAAGGAATTATGTCTCTGGGTATTATTGACCCAGCTGTAAGGGTTGTTTAAAAAAAAAAACAACAACAAAAAAACCTGTTTCATATAGCAAAGCTTTGAAATCTACATGTTGAGGTAGAATTTGACCTGATATTATGTCTCTAGTTAATCAAAGAATCCACAAAAATTAAAAGCAGTCATGGATCAAAGTTCAGGGGCCCCGTGGAAAAGATTTTGAAACGGTAAAGGGGAGAGCCACGGGAATGGTCAAGACAGTAGCCACCACATCTACAACCGGGGTCAAATCAGCTAGCTTACTCCACATACACCTTGTATACACATAAAAGAAAAAATTTAATTTTTTAAGTAAGGGATGCCCTGTCCGCTCCTGCCTCAGCTGGAACAAGCGTGCACACACCAAGAAAAGCAGAAGTCGGCCATCACCCTCTCCCAAAACTGTAACACATCCAGGTGTGTCTGTTAGAAATAGTACAGATTAAAGTGATAATGGTTAGTAATCTCCTGAGTTTAGCTCCTGTTCTTTTCTTTTCAAATCATATGCCCCCGAGAAATGAACCCAAACTGTTTTAATTCTAGTTCAGAGTTGTTTCCCGGGGGTCCCATCCTCCACAGCATCTAAAGGCAATTTGGAAAGTCAAAGGGGGGCTGCCTATAGCGGCAGATGCTTCCAATTCCAGAAGTTGGAGGCAGAGCCAGGATCACACCACAACTCTGAGGAAGCTGGGATGGTTAGGGCCATGAAGGTGCGGTGGTTACCCAGACAGACCCTGTGTGGAGGAAAAATAAAAAGGAAAATGGCCAAATCAAATCAGTTTCAAGCACTAACCATGGTTACCTCTCACAAAGGAGACCATCCCATCTGCTCTGGGACCATCAACAAACACCCCATGGATTCAAAGAAAGCTAGAGTCAAGTTGGAGGAAAACCACGGACCAAGCCACGCCACCAGGAAGCCTCCATTTAACTTTCCAGTGGGTAAAATTCCAAAGCTACTTCAGTTTTGAGAATGAATAGCAAGGTCTGGCAAAGTCCCAGCCTGGGGTCTGGCACACAGCACGTTCCCGTTTCTAAAACTAGTATCAACACCTTGAATAAAGTTACCGATCACACTCCCAACACACAATCTGTTTCTTCTATAACACGTTTTCACTGACAGGGTACACAAGTACTCAAAGCTGGCTGGGCGGGTGGGGGATAATACCCCTAGACAAGGCTACACCCAGAATGGAATGCTGACCATCTTCCAAATCTTGCCAAAACCCTTTTCCCCAAATTCTCATTTGACACTTTACATCCAAAAGGCGTAAATGCTAACCATGCCTCAGCTGCCCAAAATGTTCCCCCAGCCCCCGACTAAGTTGGGAGCCTGCTAACCCCCCATCGCCAATGACAAAGTATCGTTTACTGGCGGCTGAGCACCATTGAGGGTGAAGGAATGCATTTTACATGCAATTTAATGAATAAAAAAGGTCGTGTGCAAATTACAGCCCCCTCCCCCTTTGGGGAGTTCTAAATTCGCTTGAAACTTAACTAAAGCCCAGCACAAGCAGGTCAATAGAGGCTGGAAACTGGAGCTAAATTACTAAAAACCTGGGAATCGTAATAGCTGAAGGTTGTAATCCAGTTTAGCACAAAGGGCATTTGGAACCCTTTTGAGAAAATGCTAATTTTCCCTTAAGTACTGTGAGCCCCCTCTCCTCGACCACCTGCGGATTTTTTGATCTGCTAATTATTGTCCGGATTTCATTTTCTTAGCTCAAAAACTGCATTCTCCAATGAACTGACCAAGAGGAATCTAGAAGCTTCGCGGTAAAGATTATAATCTGAATTTATCGATACTGAGCCTGATCCCAAAATGCAATCATTAAAAATTTAAAAAAAAGTTCTTCCCCAAGCCATAAGGGGAAAGAGGGCTCCCCAAATCCATTCTAAGAATTTTTGGTGAAGACTCCCAGAAGGTAGGGATCCCGCAGAGATCCCCCGGGTGAAGATGTCGGGGCCCAGCTTGCGTCACTCACCAGGTGTGTGCCCCGATTCGCACATGACCGGTCTCCAGAGGGCGCCAGAGCGCTAAGTGGTGGGGCTCCGACCGCGGGTGATCCGCAGAAAACGTTTCCCAAACCGCGGTGGCAGCGCGCGCCCAGCGGCCTCAGGGCGCAGCCAGGTTAAGCGCGACTCCGGCCAGCGGAGATTTCTGGAAGCCCTTCAGTAGCAAGCTACCCCTCCACGCCCCGTAAAAAGTCAACCATCACCCAAAGCCAAAAGAAAAAAAAAAAAAAAACTGGATGCGCTCACCCCCCAAGGGGGGGGGGGGGATGGGAGGTCAGCTCAGGACCAGGGGAGGGGTCAGGGCCGGGAGCTCGCCCCTCCTCTCCCGAGGAAGCAGGCGGGCTTAGGGTTAACCCTTTTGTTCCAGGTGGACCAGGCGACCCAGGCTCTCCTCGGTCTGCCCCCCCACACCAGCTCTCCTGGCCAAGGCACAAAGAGTCCATCCCAGCTGCAGGGCCCTAGGATGTGGGATGCTCCGACACCCCAAAAACTCACATCCGCTCTCTCGACCAAGTAATGACTTTCTATTTGCCCTGAGGGGGGGGGAAAATCAGCTGGGTGGAGGTCACTGAACTTTTGATAAACTCGGAAAGTTGCGGGGAAAAAGGAACGCACCCCCGAGAAAGCTGGAGCGTCCGAGTGGAGCGCGTAGAGTCCGCCGCTGCCGTGCACCGCCCACCAAGCGCGGAGAGCTGTAATCTGGCGGGAGACCCAGGGGGGCCCCCTCCCCCACGTTCCCAATTTCTCCGGCGACAGTCCGGCGGGTAGGGGCAAGGGGCTAGTGGAGACCGGCTGGGAAGGTGCTCGCCCGCAACTCGGGCCGCGCCGAGGTCCTGAACTCTGCGGAGGCGCGGGCCGGGTCAACCGCAGCCCGACCTCTCCCCTTTCACCTCCCGGGCGTGTGCTGAAGCAGTACCGCCCGAGGGGTCCGTGCAAAAAAAATAAATAAATAAAAGAGGGTGCGTTCCGGCGGGGGTGACCGTGCACCAGCCACCCCGGGCCCCGGCCGGCACCCTCCCGCTGGCCGCGGTTATTTTTAGATAGTCGGAAATCAAAGATGGCTGGAGGTCAGGCCCCGAAAGGTTAGGGCGAGGATCGGCAGCAGGCGGCGTAGCCCCGGGGGAAAGGCGGAAAGCAAAAAAAAAAAAAAAAAGTAAACAAAATACCTAAAATTACGAAAAAATAAAATAAAAGCTCCCAACGGGAACTAAACCAAGTAGCCTCCCCCGCCCTCTGTGCTGCGCGGGTGGCCTGCACCCCGGCCTGGGGGTGGGGAGAGGTCGCGCCCCCTCCCCCCACTCTGCCTGGGAGGGGCGCGTACAACAGATCGCCCTCCTGGGGGGTCCCCTAGAGGTGCGCCCCTCCTCCTAGAGGCCCCCAAGGGGGTGGAAGAGAGGGTGGGAAGACTTGGGGGTCTCTTTCTTTTAAAAGCGGCGCCACCGGAGAAGGGGAAAGGCAAGCCTAAGTTACTGTGTGAGGGGGTGCTTGTGTTTCAAGGCGAGGGAATCAACTATGGGACTGAGGACAAGGAGAATCAAGCTGGTGGGAGAGTGAGGCAGAAGGAAAATGGGAGGCCAACTTTGCAATAACAGGGAGAGAACTGGGGGAAACTTTCTTGGGATAGGGGGGCTGAGGCTACCTCCTTCCAACCCTCTCCGTCTCTCCTTTCCCGGAACGGAGTCCGGAATCCCGGTTCCAAAATCTGTTCCGGGAGCCCGCGCCCTCGAGGGACGCACCGCGGTGCTGGGAGCGCCCTCCCGGACGCACGAACAGACGGGCGCACGGACGGGGCCGCAGCCGCACTCACCCGGTTCCTCCGCCGCCGGCGCTTCTGCGAGGTCGGGGCTCGGCTGCTGCAGCGGCTGCTCGCCCTGGCCCTCCTCCGAGTTGATGTGCTGGGGCTTCGCCTGCTTGCGCCTCGACATGGTGCGCGCATCGGGGCGCCGGGAAGAGCCCTGGTGACTTGCCACCAATTCCTAGAGTTGGGAAATTTTACCCCCCTTCGGCCGGAACGCGCATGTCCCAGTAATTATTATTATCAATAATGCATTGCGATTTATCATGAGCCCTGACAGCTGATTGGCCTGGGTCCAAGACCTCAGAGATCATTTAAATAAGCCCTCATTGATCAGGGAGGGGCGAGGCATGCTGGGCCTTGTAGTCCGGCCCTACATGTGACAAAGGCGTGTTCATCAGGGAAGCGTAGCTAATTAGCATCCGGGCTCAGATTGGCCGGGGCGTGGACCGACTCGGAGGGGACCATCCTCGCGGCCACTATCCGAGTGTTGGGACGAGAAGAAAAAGCGGGGGAATCGGTTTATTGAAAACCAGGGCTGGACATGAAAGTTCTAGAACCGATGTGTCTTGGTAATGCGCTCAAAAAAAAAAAAAATTACTGAAGTAGTTCGCGTGGTTGATAACTAACAGCTGAAAAAAGAAGGTCTTTCCCTTCACAGAAAAATACTTCGGTTCAATTTTTACCTCTAAACCCAACCTGACCGGAGACTCGAGTCCCTTTCCAGGTTTTTGATTGAATTTTTTAAATTGCTTTTGGAAGGCTGCCGGAGTGGCCGGTGGTTCGCGCGGCCTTCTGCCCATCCCAACACTTCAAGCTACAACACCCCCACCCCACAATTTCACACTTTTAGTCCCCACCACGATTTGCCTCGGGATTCACATTCACGAGCGTGGGTTTGTTATTACCGTGTAAACTTTCTGAATTTTAAAAAGTCCTTCTCAGCCCCTGTCTGCTAACTGTAGAAAGAACAGATTAAAATCAAAGTTGGTCAAAGATAATTCCAGAATAGCGAGCAATTGCGGTTTCCTTCATGGGAGCGGTTTCAGTCTGCTGTGGAAAAGAGTGGGCGTCCTGAAGGTACCTGGGTACTCACTGGTCACTAGGACATTTTGCAATACTAGACCTCGTTTCAAAAAAGACCACTTCCGTTAAGAGGTTGTAGGTTCCTGATTCAGGGATGCCTGGAATTTTCTAAAGGGGCATGGATGGATATAAAATTATACTTTACAAATCTCATAAATTTAATTGGCTAGCTCCCTTACACAATTTATGAGCTCAGTGGTGAAGGAGTATTCAACTGACTGGTCAGCCTTCTGCGTGTCCCTGAGACCTCTGGATATGTGGTTCCTTATTTGACGTTTCCATCCTTATTAGGAACTGGGCAGACACCAGCCTTTCCTTGGTCTTTGTGCTTTGCGTTTTGTTTTTTGTTTGTTTGGGGTTTTTATTATTATTATTATCATCATCATCATCATCATCATCATCATTATTATTAGCTGTTTGTCAAGTTTGCAGTTTCTAAGAAGCTGATGAGGGAGGCAGGGGGAATAAGAACCTGGCCTCATGAGCATTGAGCATGTTCACCTGAGCCTTTGGACAAACCAAAGCTGAATAAATCAGCTGGAACACGATTTTAATATGGGTAGCTATGGATAAGACCTTATAGAAGAAACGCCTGACTTCCAATTTTGACCTGTCTTCTGGAACATATTTTGAATTATTTGGAGGATGCCATCTAAAACAAATAGGACAGCCCTCTTGCAAGCCAGGGTGCAGCTGGCAGGGACGCATTCGTTTCCATGTTCCATAAAAGCTCCCAGGATTCTGATAGTGAGGCAGATTAGCACCTGCTTCTGCCTAATCTGCCGATATCCTCAACACCTTTCTGGGAAGGGAGCCAAACAGGCGCAGCCATTCAGAATGTACAGTTTATTGCTCAAGAAAGATGAGCCTGCCCTTTAAGGAAAACATCGTGTGATATAATCCTCTCCTTTATCTCGCTAGTGATCGTTAAAGCATGGCAATCATATTTGCCTGAGAATGAGGTGGGACCATTGGACCATTTCAATCACGACAGTAATACTGATTGATGATAATAATAATTTTCAGAAGACTGAGGCAGAGAGACCTCAAGTTTGAGGGGAGCCTTTGTCTCAAAGAATAGAAAAGGTAAAGTCAGGAGGCAGCAGAGGACAGTAGTTTTTTGTTTTGTTGTTGTTGTTTATTTCATGTGCATTGGTTCTTTGTCTGCAAGTCTGTCTGTGTGAGGGTAGATCCTCTGGAACTGGAGTTGCAGACAGTGTGCACTGCCATGTGGGTGCTGGGGACCAAACTCAGGTCCTGTGGAAGACCAGCTAGTGCTCTTGACTGCTGAACCATCTTTCCATAATGAAAGTAGATTTGTTTTATTATTGTTATTTCATTTTATTTTTGACTTTTTTTTTTAGGGAGTTCTCACGTAGCACAGGTGACCTTGAGCTTCTCATGCTCATGGCTTCACACACACACACACACACACACACACACACACACACACACACTTGTTCTTGGATTACAGGCGTGAGACACCTTGATTGCGAAGGATACTCCCTGTTCATCCAGTGTTTCCATTTCGTGAGCCACAGTCAGGAACCAGCAGAGAAATGGACTGAGCCTTAGAAGGGGAGCAGAAGCGACAAAAGTTAAAGAATGGAAGGCAAGTCTCTAATCCAAAGTTATCCTGTGATGGCTTAGAACACCTTAAGCAGCCAAAAGCCCTGGGTGGGGCTAGATACAGGAAAGAGCCTGGATTTTAAGGCAATCGCTTCTGTTGGGTGATGGGGCTTTGCAAAAACCGGTTGTTTTCAAGGTTGATTCTAGGCGCTACTTCCCAACAAAGTTGACAACTAGTAGGTTTTTCAGCCGTCTGTGAATGTCCAACCTCTACTATATATAAAGAGATTTGGGGTGCATAACCCCATTTCATTCCTGCAGCCACCGAGGCTCCTTACGTAACTGTTTATTTGTTGACCAGGGTCATTTGCATCCCAGGCTGGTATTCAATGCACTTTGTAGCCAAGGATGATCCCATCCTCCTGTTTCCGACTCAGTCACTAGGAACACAGGTGTCTGGCTCCCTCCTTAAGTGAGGACAACCTTGAATATCAACCAACTGCAGAGCTGTGTGCGGTCAGGAACTTTCCAATTGGGATGTATAGGTCTCAGTCTCTCGACCAGTCACTCCGCCTTGTCTCCGCCTTCCCGCTCCCCCCTCCACATTTTTTCTAGCCCACTCCTGAGCCCCCAGACTCAGCCTTCCTTCTTCCACATTAGGTCATTTATTTTTGCCCAACTTCTCCTCCCTTCCTCCTTTGGTACCCACTATCTAGGAAGGATTCTTTCCTTTTATGGCATAGACTATATAGTTCAAGACTTAGGGCAGATTTCTTCTTTTGAGGGATGGAGGATGAGGCCGGATCTCACGGAGCCCAGGCTGCCCTCAGACTTGTGGCAATCTTCCCTGCCTCAGCTTCCCAAGTGTTATCTTCTTCCACCCTATAAATCCCTGGGATCAAACCCAAGTCATCAGACTTGGCAGCAGGCATCTTTAGCAGCTAAGCCATCTTTCCAGCCCTTGTTTGTTATTTGAAAAAGACTGGCTACCCACTCAATATATGGCCAAGGAGGACTGTGAGCTTCAGATTCTTCTGTGTCAGCCTCCCAAGTACGAAGATGACAGGCGTGCACCACAGTGCCTCATGTAAGCAGTGCTGGGGGTGCATGGTGGGCAAGCCCTCCACCAACCGAGCCACATCCCAGCCCCTGTATCTTTGATTTAGGATATTTTTCAGCATCTTCCAGTTCTTCGTGTCTGTCACTTCGCTGGAAGCAGGAAAGTGAGTATATTTGTCTATTTGTCTGTCATACCGCAGCCTCGTCCGGACTGACGGCCTCACCACTCACCAAGTGTCCTTTCCACTTGGCTGTAGTAATGACATAGAAGGCGCAATAATGACAATGAGCCAATGATTATGACTCTAGGGACCCTGGGTATAAAATAAAGTGTTGAGGCTAATGACTGGAGAGGAGGGAGTCTCTAAAGTGATGCAGGCATTACAGACAGCTATTGGCAAGTCCTGAAAATTCAAAGTGGAATTATATGAAATAACAGTGAGCAGGGTCTCAGAGGGATGTTCGGATGTCTATGTTTATAGCTGAATTCCTCGCAGTACTTAAAAGATAGCAGTACCCCAGGTGTCCATCAAGGGATGGATGGATAAACTCAATGTGGACTACAGCACAATGAAATATTATTACTCAGCCTTTTCTTATCTTTGTTTTGTTTTTTGTTTTTCAAGACAGGGTTTCCCTGTGTAACAGCCCTAGCTGTCCTGGAACTAGCTCTTGTAGACCAGGCTGGCCTGGAAATCACAGGGATCCACCTGCCTCTGCCTCCCTCCCGAGTGCTGGGATTAGAGGCGTGTCTGTAGTGCCTGTCCTTCTGCCTTGTCACAGTTAGCTTAACGTCAAGGCTCACGCATATTGTAGCATGTGTCAGAACGGCGTTTTTTTTCTTTTTTCTTTTGTTTTTTGGAGACAGGGTCTCACTATGTAGCTCTGGTCGTTCCGGAACTCACTAAGTAGACCAGACTGGCCTCGAACTCACAGAGATCTGCCTGCCTCTGCTTCCTAAATACTGGGATTAAAGATGAGTGCCACCACAGCCAGCTTCCTTTTAAAGGCTGATTAATTATATATATATATGCTGAGGCTGGGCGGTGGTGGCACATGCCTTTAATCCCAGCACTCGGGAGATAGAGGCAGGTTTTTTGTGAGTCTGAAGACATCTTGGTCTACGTAGTGAGTTTTTTTTTTTTAAAATATCTATTTATTTATTTATTATGTATACAATATTCTATCCACATGTATGTCTGTAGGCCAGAAGACTTCATTACAGATGGTTGTGAGCCACCATGTGGTTGCCGGGAATTGAACTCAGGACCTTTGGAAGAGCAGGCAATGCTCTTAACCACTGAGCCATCTCTCCAGCCCCCGTAGTGAGTTTTAAAACAGCCAAGGGAAGCAAAGGCTACTCGGAGAAACCCTGTCTTGAAAACCAAAATAGAAAACACAAAGAAACAAACAAAATACCCATAAAAAGGGGAATCTAGGGGCTGGAGAGATAGCCTAGCAGTTAAGAGCTTCCAGAGGACCCAGGTTCAATTCCCAACACCCACATGGCAGCTCACACCTGTCTGTAACTCCAGTTCCAGAGGATCTGACACCTTCACACAGACACAAATGCAAGC